GGGGGATTCAGTGGGCTTCTCACACTGTCCTGAGATCATGTATCACCCTTCACAGAGGTACTATTGAAGCCTTCCCCAAGATAGTTATGGGTGTTAAGATGAGCAAGAGAGATCTGCAATTACCATAATGCTGTGGATTGTTATTGAAAAACAGTGGGCATTGTGTTTGAGCAGTTGCTTTCAAATTCACAACGATGGTAGCATTTCCTGACGTCCTTGTGGCTTATATATGTAATAGACTTTTTTTCAGTCTCAAAAGACAAGTACTGTTTGCACACATTCTCAAGTAAAGGCAGCTGAGGCCCATGCTCCCCTGAGTCATGTTGTCAATGTTGTGGTCCCACTGAGCTGTGAATCCAGGTCAGCCTAGCTCTGGCTTCTCTGTGGAAAGTGACATCATCTCTCCACTTTGCTATCTAAATACCTCATGCTGCTCCCCATCTGGTCCCTCTGGTTTTAGGCAGTATCACATCTGAGTCACACTTGGCCGATTTATACTCATGAAATACCAGAGATCAGTGTGGCGTAACAGCCACCAGCAACCCATTTGTTTCTGCATGGATAGATTCATGAATCACAGAGGCTGGTTCTAGAACTTCATAATGCACAGACAAGAAGGCTTGTATCCTGAAGGTGTGTCTGTCCACTTTGACAGCAGTGAGTGTGCCTTAACCCCAGAGAAACAAGAGAGGAGGACATGGGCTCTTGAATGATCTCCCTGGATGAGACCCAAGTTTTGGGTGACAAGTAGGCATCTTAGCTCCCTAGAAGTTTCCATCGTGTATGGGATGGATTAGGGGGTTCAGTTTTAACATGTTGGGTAGGAGTACCTGAATACATAATTTACAGTAAATCAACATCTCTATTGGCTCCAGATAATAAACTTGCATAGTGGTCTGATTATGGAATGTAGTGAGGATTTGGGGAAGTGAGGCATTTTACAGCTTTTCAAGATTGAATATTCTCAGCATGGAGTTCTTTCTGTTAACCAAAGGCAAATAACTAGGCAAAAGGATCAGAAAATACATAAATAGGGAACTTATGGAAGACTTTTCCCCTCCCCTTCCCTCCCCTCCCCACCCCTTCCCTTCTTTTTGTCTCCTCCCTTCCCTATATACATAGGTAAGATATGTCCACTTTGAGGAGATGGATGATGGGTATGTGAGACCCTCTAGGCCAGTTTTGACTTTTTCCTGCGAGTCTATCACTATTTCGAATAAAAGCACATGCATTAAACCAGCTCAGTGATTTGTTGTCTATCCAAGATTTATCACTGGCATGTTGAGTCCCTTGCCTTCCCTCTCTTGATAATCTACAATTCCACTCTTTAGAAATAAGTTCTGTCCACTGGGCTATACCTTTCCCGTTAGAGCACAAGCCACAGTCAACATTTCTATGGAGCTGCTAAGTCTGCTAGGCAAACCCCCTCCCCAGCACAGGAGTAAACACACACCCCTAAACTAATTCCAGAATTCTCCTCCCAGCTGGACTTCACTGAGTTGCATACAGTTTTTCAGAAGCAAGAAACTTGATACCCAGGGCAGGAGAACTCTCTGAATAATAGTGTGTGGACTGGAGTCTCTATCCCCAGGAGCCTAGTAACCCACAGCTCATGGATTAGTTGGGTGACCCCTCGCTCCCCCTGGATATATATGTCCTGGTTTTATTCTTATTAGCAATGGCAGCTAAGTGCTGTATTTTGAAGGAAAAAAAAGTGGAGGGGGAATCAAAAGATAACCTACCAATTTTAAGTTACACATTGAGAGGAATGTGTAGGTCACTTGGCTCTGCCATCATTTTCCTTGGATTGCTTTTGGGTCACCATCTGGGAATGTTCTCCCTGTTTTATGAGGAAAATATGTACATGCATTTTCATAATGTGTAGCATGCATGTCCTTTGGGATTTCCAGCAAGGAATGATGTCTTTAACAAATGCCTGACTTTTCTTTGTGATGCAGTTGCATTTCTGTAGGATGCAGTATATTGCAATGATTTTCTTGCCCTGGGTAAAGAGGGATGGGAAGCATGGGAGTTAGGGACTCGGGATGGGGGTTGACAGTTCATCGGCTTGTTCTACAGGTCCCATCAAGTACTTAAGTGTTATCATGCACAAGAATGTGGGGAAATACAAGTCAACTATCAACAAATTTTATATGCTTAGCAGAATTTTTTACCTATTGGATAAATACCAGTTAGTGGACAGAAAAATGAACACACAAACAAACAAACAAATAAAAAAAAAAAAACTGTGGGATTTGCTTATCATTTTGAGGCCCCAGTGATTTACACAGATGTGACCTTACTCAACTTCCCCCAGGTGCCATGGTGGCAGCTCAGGTGTCTCTTTGTGGCTTTCATCTCTCTGTGCAACCTTGGCTGACTTTGAACTCCTGATCTTCCTTCCTTTCCCTCTTCATTGTTGGGATTACAAGCCCACACCACCATACCTCATTCTACTTTTATTTTTTAAACATTTGTTTTGTTTTTAATTATGTGTAGGTATGTAGGTAATGTGCACGTAAGTGTAGGTACCCCACTGAGACCAGAGTCATTGGATCCCCTCATTAGAGTTACAGGTGGTTGTGAGTCACCAATATGGGCACTGGGAACTGAAGTCAGGTCCTCTGTAAGAGCAGCGTGCTGAGCCAGCTCCAGCCCTCTGCTTTGTTCTTTATAGAGTGAGAATTATGGCTGAACCTTGTGTGGCACATCGATCCCCATGATTCCCTGATGTAGGGAAACTAAGAGCATCCTCTACTGGCATCCTTACTTTCCTGGATCCTGTTGATGCTTTTCTTCCAAGTCAGCAACATTTCAGTATTTGCCATTGTCACCCCAAATGAGGACTTTCTACTTACAACAGACTAATCTTTTGTTTTGTTTTGTTTTGTTTGTTTGTTTTTGTTTTTTGAGACAGGGTTTCTCTGTGTAATTTTGGTGCCTGTCCTGGATCTCACTCTGTAGACCAGGCTGGCCTCAAACTCACAGAGATCTGCCTGCCTCTGCCTCCTAAAGGCATGTGCCACCACCGCCCGGACCAACAGACTAATCTTATCATAGCCACTGACATGTTATTGTATCTGGGGAAACCACTTAATCACTCTATTCCAATTTTTCCTAAATCTGGGCTCTGTTTGTAACCATGACCTGGGTCCTATAGGATCTACAGATCTGGTCTGATGTGGTTTTCAAAGACGGCCTTTTTAAATCATTCACATCATATATCCACCACTCTTATTGCCATGTAGCATTAGAGTAAGAACTTGACACAGGAGATCCCTCCTCATAGTTATATTTACTAAATACCTTCTGTTTTTCTAGGGCACTCAGCTGACAGCTTAGTTAGGACTTATTAATAATTAATTCATCTTTTGCAAATGAGGAAACTAAGGCTCAGAAATGTTAAATGGTCCAAAGTTGGGATGACTTCCGAGGACACTAGCTCAAAGCTTATGAGTTGGGTTAGAGCCCAGCAGAGAGGCGGCCAAGCTAAGCTGGCTACTGCTCAGCACGGCCTGAATCCACTCCCAAGTAAGACAGCCTACATCCGCTTCACAGCGTTGGAAGGGTCCTGCTATTCTCCTTAGTCTGACTTACGCATCACCGTCTAGACTGGAATTCCCAAGTTTACCATTTGTTTCATGAGCTTTCTGTACCTGAGCAGACAGGTAATGCTGGACATTCTTGGAAGAATTAGGTAGGTCTCAGAAAGAGGTGATATTTAATCTTGTTCTTCACAGTTCACCCAGACTTAAAAGTTTAGAATGTTCTATAAACATGGGGTCTCAGAAGAAGAATAACCCTGAGGTCTGTCCATGCAAAGACCATGTCCAGTAGACCTGGCTGTACCCAATTCTGAGCCCTCTAGTAAGACTGATTTGGGTCAGTCCTTTCCTGTTTTTTGCTCGGTAGTCTCTTTTAAAGTGCCACCCCAAAAAGTCAGGGGAAATATTCCCTGCTGTTCTGTATTTTTTAAGATTTATTTTAAATGTGTGTACGTGTGCAAATGCACACATGCACTTGCACAAGTGCAGGTGGATATCTTTGAAGGTCAGAGGAGAGCATCAGATCCCCAAAGCTGGAGTTAATAGGCATTTTTGAGCTGCTGAACATGGGTGCTCGGAACCAAACTCTGATCCTCTGGAAGAACAAGTGCTCTTAACTGCTGATCCATCTCTCCACTACCTCACTGTTGTTGTTTTTAGTGTAGTCTCTCACTGGCTTGAAATTTCTGAGTAGACTACACTGACTGATCAGCAAGTCCCAGGGATTCTCCTGTTTCCACCTTTCCAGTGCTTGGATTACAAGCATGTGCCATCACATCTGGCTTGTGACCACACCTAAGTTCTAGGAATCAAACTCATGTCCTCTTGTTTATATGGCAAGAAATTTCCTAACTGATCATCTCCCCAGCCCTGCCTTTAATTTTATTTAGAGTTACAAAAACTTCTCACCACATTGCCTCATTTGGCCTTAAACTCACCCGGTAGCCCAGGCTGACCTGAAACTCATGACCCGCTGGGGTGTCAGGATTACAAGTATATGCCACCACCCCTGGCTGGATTGTCTTTAAGGGTGATGCGGGCTTAGTGGAGGCATTTCGGAACCTGGGTGGAATCTTTTTGAGATTACAGTGTTATTCATTCCATTGTGGCCAGGCTTGCTCTCGGTGCCCCCACCCCCGGAGGTACAGCTCTTTGGAGCACATGTTTAAAGATAACGTGAGCTAGAAGACTCCTTGGAGCCTCTTCCGTTTACGGAGTGAAGCCATGCACAACCCCCAGCCTGGAGCTCCAGCCGAGTCCCAGCCTCACATGCTCCCTGGACTTGGCAGTAAAAGCTGTGTTCTTCCATCCATTCTGATGATGTATAGTCTCTCTGGGCGTCTAATATTAAACAGGGGAATTCCGACATGTTCCATAACGCATTTACTGTAACTTGATACCTCAAACTATACTTGCTGTTATTTATCATTTCTTCTTTATTTTCTCTCATTCCAGCACAAAGCCAAGGTAGAAGCAATGACCCTGGACCTGGCTGTGCTCCGTAGCGTGCAGCATTTTGCTGAAGCGTTCAAGGCCAAGAATGTGTGAGTGTTTCAGTTCGGGGTTATACATCATAATTCCTTGCTATTGTAATGTCTTTATCAGATGAACACTATCAGGAGAACGCAGGGCTGCAGTGCTCTCTTGGCATCCAAACCGGGGGTTCATTTATATTGGCACTGTTAAGGTGGGCTGTATTTGCTTGACTCTGAGTCACCCTCATTATGAGATGTGTCATCAATCTAATAACAGCTTCACAGACCAAAAAGGAAAGAGAAGACATTATTAAAACTCATAAGGCTGATCCACAATAGGACAGTTTTAAATGTGCCCTGTTACAAACTTGTTGTGTATCTCTCAGAATCAAGGAAAAGTGTACCTCAAGGGCATCCAGGAACCTCACCTATTCTATAGAGACAGGGCTGATATCCTGAGCATGTTCTTTTCTAGTGCTGTGCAAGCCTTTGGTGCTTTGACATAGGATGTGGATGTAGCTCCGGACACAGATGCAGATTGTAAGACTCTGGGGGCCTTTCTAGCCCCTGGAGCCTCCTCATACCCACAATCCTGGTTGGATCTTACATTCACAGCATCGACCGACTTTGGAAGTGAGCATTCTTCATCAGATCTTCAAAATGCCTTAGTTGGGGGGGGGGCTGTATACTCTGCCACCCTCAAGCAACCTCCCTCCCTATAGAGAAAGATGTCAGAGAAGAGCAATGAAGAAGAGAGAGAAAGAAGGGAGGAGAGGGAGGGCATGAAGTAGAGACTCAGGCTCCATGCTAATGAAAGCAGTGGTGGCTAGCTATGTTATAATTATAGTATTTTGTTTCCAAGGTTTATTTTTATGGTTGCCTCTATAGGGCAAGCAGTACTGGTTTCTCATTTACCATAGTGGCTTTGGTTTCATTAATAAATAACTTCACTTAATTTTATTTTCCAGTGAGGTGATTGAAGCATGAGGATTAAGTTAATCATAGCCCCGGTGCTGCCAAGGGGGAAATAATGGTGTGAGTGATTCCAGCATGACTGGCCTGGGAGGGCTCAGACTAGGCCATGCTGAAATTCCCTGAGCAGATGGGAGGTGTTGGGAAAGGGATCTTCAACCAGGTATTCAAATGCTACGGTGTTGGGTGTTGCCTGGTTTCTCATCCTGAGTCCACTCTGGTCTTTTAGACCATCACAGTATTTGATCTTTGCCGAGCAAGCAAGTGGGCAGAGTGTCCTGTTCAGAGCATCACAGACTTGTATCATTCCCAAGTGAAGACCCTTTGCTGACTCATAGGCAGAGCTAGATCCACCCCACCTTGGCCCTGCCAATCAGAACTGTGAGCCCCACCACGTGCTCTTTCTGGTGCTGTGTCCTCACTAGCTGCCATCCCTTGCCAGAGCTATCAAAGGGGCCAGAGACTGGGAATACCACCAACTGCCACGTCTATTCATCTCATCCTCATCATTTGTTTGTCTACTTGTTCATTTACTTAACAGGCATTTGCTGAGCACTTCCAAATCCCCAGACATTCTTCTGGGAGGACATTGCTGGCCACTGGGAGCCAAGGTGACCTCAGACAAGCCACAGTCTTAGATATCGGCAAGCCATGTTTTATTACTGATGCTGACTCCTCATCCCAATATGCCTGTGGTTACAGAGGGACAAAATTACTAACAACTCCAGCAGCAGAAGTAACAGCTAATTTTGGGGGTTTCACTTGGGTATACACCTTTAAGATGCCTTGCCTGCCCCTTCTGGTTCAGTTCTGAAAGTACTTTCATGGTGGGAGTGACTGTATCCATTATGCAGATGATAATAGTGATTCTAGAAAGATGGGGTAAAATGGGCATAGACAGTATTTGGTAAGTAATAGGGCCAAGACCCTAGGTGACCCATCACACCAGGGTTTCCTCTTATCTGCTCTGTGCTTCTTTCTTTTATTATAAAGACCATAGAAACTTGTACTCAGAAAGCTAGTGAGTTTGTTAGGAACACCCAGCAGTTGATGGAAGATGGAGGATTCCACCCGTTCTAACTTCTCCCTCCTCCTTGGTACCCACTGCTTTGATTAGGTCTTAAAGTGAGTGACTTTGCTGAGGAGAGCTGACTGTGTATCATAGTCCCGTTCTCCATTGCTCAAAGCAGTCGTTAGATTTTATCCAATAAACAGTTCAGAAACCATCACACTTAAGGGCCTTTTATCATCATGGACCCAAACTCTTGGAGGGAAAGACTGCCCATTTTGCACTAATCTTTGGTTTTCAGTACTCAATGTTCAGGCCCAAGGGCAGGGATTCCCTTAGGCTAAGGCTTAGGACCTATTCTTTCTGTGCCTTAAGAGTGTAGGGTTGTGCACAGCGTGGAGAAATACTGCCGTACTGAAAATATGTATTAAAAAAGCGGGTGATTTTTCCCTTTTGACATACTGCCAGTCCCGAAATCTCCCCTGGAAAGGCAAATGACAGCTCAGTGCTAACGGTCTTCGGATTCAGAGAGCTGTCAGAAGTGAATTTAAGTGCTGGTGACCAGGCTGCCAGAAAAACATGTGTAACTCTCGTCTTATCATCACCTCCCATCTTTAGACATTAAAATTTCCTTGTGTGTAAAACATAATGACAAATGAAAGAAAGCCTGCCAGTTCAGAACCAGTCCCTTTTTGTGTGCAGTTGGGCCAAAGAAAGGAAAAGGCCTTCAATGTAAATTCCACGTGGACACTCCATTATGCTCCATTTTTAATAGACCTTTTCACAGCCTGCCCGTGAGCACCCTGGAATACCATCAGGCTCCATGCAATCTTCAATACAAGTGTGACCTCTCACTTTGGGATGGGCAGTGCATTCATTTTGTCACTTGGAGATGGCAAAAATGAAAGCTGAAGGCAAAACACTGGGGGGAGAATGCAGCCTGTCACGTATGCTGCAGAACTGGCTTCCCCCTGCCTTGGGGAGACTTGGAGTCAGCGACTGTACGTGTCTTCTCTTTGGAAGGTAGGCTAGCGAGGAGAAGACAGTTTCAGAGTATGCATGGCTTATGACAGTTATGGGAGCAGTAGGGACTAGCCAAACACTTTTTTTTTAACTCTATGCATGGCAACACCTTAAATTCTTTTCCTGTTCTATATGTGCATTTATGGGTATATGTGCACATGTGTGCAGGTGGTGGCCATAGGTTGACATCAGATGTCTTCTTCAATCACTCTCCACTTTATTTTTTTGAGGCAGGGCCTCTTCAGTGAACCTAGAGCTGGCTACTTGGCTAGGCCTGGCCTGCCAGCAAGCTCTAGGGTTCCTCTTAGCTCTGCTTTTCCAGCACTGGGATTACAGGAGTATCTCGCTTTGTCTGGCTATCATGTGTGTGGTGGTTTGAATGAGACTGTCCTCCATAGACTAATGTTTGAATACTTGGTCCCCAGTTGGTAGAAGTGTTTGGGAAGGATTAGAAATCGTGACCTTGGAGGTGGTATGTTACTAGGGGCAGGCTTTGAGATTTCAAAAGACTCTCACTAGTCCCAGCACTCTTTCTCTGCCTTGTGCTTGTGGATCAAGCTGTAAGCTCTTGAGTTTCTGCTCCAGCACCATGGCTGCCTGCCTGCCTGCCTGCTTCCATGCTCCCCGCGGTGATGGTCGTGGACTCTAACCCTCAAAAACTGTAAGCCCAAAATGAAATTGTTCTGTAAGTTGCCTTGGTCATGGTGTCTTAGCACAATGATATAAAAGTAACTAAGGCAATCTTGATTCTGGTCATCAAACTCAGGTCCTCATGTTTATATAGCAAGCACCTCACTGACAGCTGTCTCCCCAACCCCTGTGCAAAGCTCTGATACATATATTCTCTGTCGGCTTCTTACACACGATCACCCCCGTTTTCAGTTTTCCAAATGCAAAGGTCCAGGCACACAGAGTCTTGTCCCTCTCCTAGTGAATCATGTGTTACATGGAGAATTTGAACCCAAGTGTGTCTGAATCCAGACGCATAACTGCTTGCCATGACTGGTCTCCCAAGGTTCTGTGCAGACTGCCTGCCCAATCTGCCTCCTCTGCTTCCTTGCTCATTGTCTTTTTCATTCATTTCTTCTGTTTTTCTCCACTAACTCTTCAGGGTGGTCAGTTAGAGAACCTCAATCTCGATATTTCTCCCTGGAGTTAGTGGTGGTAATGGTGGTCAGCCAGTATGTCTCAGGCCAAATTATTCTGGGCATTACTGGAAAGTTCCAAACCAAAGACTGTGGCAGTTTCCAACCAAATTGAATTTTTTTTAAAAAAAAGATATTTTGGTTCAAATGGCATTCAGAAAGGGAGCCAAACTCCACAGTGCTGGTAGGCAAGGGTGTCTGTCAGTGGGGAGCAGCTGGAGCAAGTCCCTTTTTGAGAATCACCCAGGCTGGTCATCTGGGTACCCTGTCGCAGACTCCAAAGCCTCTGCTCATTGGAGATGGATTCTTGCACACTCTCAATCTGACTATAGCTGTTTCATTTGCCAGAACAGAAAGCCTACATCTTGAGGCCTAAAACAGCTCCAAGGACGAGATGTTCCAGAAGCATGTTCTTTCTCACTAAAGTTCTGTCGTTCCCAATAAAATGGAAGGCTGCACTCCAATCCTGCAATTTTAAAAGTTGGGAATGGCACACCATAAAGGACATGGGTTACTAGGATTCTCTTTGCCAGCCAGCTCTCATTGGCCAAGGGTTTCATTCGCCCTGGAAGAGAACTGCAATTGATAGAAAATTCTTATTAACAGAGTTGTGCAATTCTGAAGGTTTCTAGAACCCCATTTTTCATCATGGGTTTCTATTTCTTGTCTCAGCTTTCTGTCTCTAGTATAATTTAAATAAATTAGGCTTCATTTCACCAAGAAAATCATACTGAAATGTGTTTTATTTAAAGGTTAAAATAAAGGTTTTCTATCCTTATTAAATGTTTGAGGAGAAAAGTCTTTAGCAGAATTGTTTATTTTTACTTCCCACTAGAAGACTTTCAGAACTTGAGCTACTAACCCAAGATATTATATTCTTGGATTCATATTCCAGCGTTCTGTCTCTTTTCTCTCTATAG